ATGTTCATATAAATGCAAATTCATATAAATGCAAATATATTTTACTTATGATAAAAACAATGATAAAATGAAAAATTCAGAAGACATTAAAAATGTACAATAAAATGATAATGTTCATATAAATGCAAATATATTTTACTTATGATAAAAACAATGATAAAATGAAAAATTCAGAAGACATTAAAAATGTACAATAAAATGATAATGTTCATATAAATGCAAATATATTTTACTTATGATAAAAACAATGATAAAATGAAAAATTCAGAAGACATTAAAAATGTACAATAAAATGATAATGTTCATATAAATGCAATTATATTTTATTTCTTCAAAAACAATGACAAAATGGAAAATTCAAAATATATTAAAAATGTACTATAAAATGACAATTTTTGCATAAATGACCATAATGACCATTTTATTTCAATGAACATAAATAAATATTTTACTTAACAAAAAGAAACTAAACATAACCTATGAAATTCTTTCAGTATCTTTTTCTCAACAAAAACTAATAAAGATAAAATTAAACAAGTGAATAAGGAAGCTTAAACGAATAATCGAATAAGTAACGATTAATAAATGAAACAATTTCCGTCTAACGCTAATGAGATAATTAGGAATCCGATAGGTACTTGAATGATTGATTCCTTAGCTTATCATCGCTCCGCAGTTAATATATTAAGCTTTGATGTTTCGGATGATGGATGGTGAAACGTGTTAGCTTGTCATTTATCATGATATATTAATCTCTAACAATCGTTTAATTTAAACCTGTTTACCCTAAACGATTTCTAATTATTAATCTCTATAGTGAATTTCAATGTTCTCTGTTGCAGGTCGTCGGTGCTTCTCGTATTTATAATAGGGCTATTCGTGCACGACACCCTTGCTAAACACGTGAGTATTTCTCTTCATTACGAAATCGATATTGAATTTATGTTTCAAAGATGACGATAAAATTAATACAATGTCTTTGGCGGAACGTTCGCAATCGAATTCCTTCAGATTTTATAACTACTTTGATGGTGGTTCGAGTATCACCTGCATCCAACTATCTTAATGAAGGAAATTTTTGAGAAATATGGAAATGTAAGGTATAGAATTTATACTGGATTGCTGTTTCACGGGTGCTAGGGATATTAAGCTGATAATCGGTTTAAAATCTCGAAGGATGGTAATAAAAACTTGGTGGATCTTTGATCTCTCGAATCAAGAAATATATTATTGTTTATTGGTAGAAATTTAAATTTGGAAGTGAGGAAATTTGAGTTTCTGAAATTTTTTAAATTGCAGGCTGGGATTTTGAAGATTTGGGGATTTAAGGAATTAGAAAGATGGAAATTAGTGGATTGGGGATTTAGGGGGTAGGGATTTAGGAAGGGGGGAATTTAAGAAGTGGAATTTTAGAGAATTGGGGATTTTGGAAATGGGAATTTAGGAATTGGGGATTTGGGGAATTAGGAATTGGAGGAATTGGGGATTTGAAAATTGGAAATTTGGGGAATTTGGAATTTAGAGAATTGGGGATTTGGAAAGTGGGTTCTAGGAATTTGGGGAATTTAGAGAATTGGGAATTTGGAAATTGGGGATCTAGGGATTTGGGGAATTTAGAGAATTGGAGATCTAGAAATTTGGGGAATTTAGAGAATTGGAGATTTGAAAATTGGGGATCTAGGGATTGGGGACTTAGGGATTGAGATTTAGGGAATTAGGGATTTAGGGAATTGGGGATTTAAGGAATTGGGGATTTAGGGAATTGGGGATTTAGGGATTGGGTATTTAGGGATTGGGGATTTAGGCAATTGGGAATTTAGAGAATTGGGGATTTGGAAATTGAGGATTTGGAAACTGGAAATTTAGAAATTTAGAAAATTGGGGATCCTTGGCATTGGGGATTTAGGGATTGGGTATTTAGAGAATTGGAATTGTAGGAAATTGAGAATGTAGAGAACTAGTAATGTAAAGAATTTGGAAATTAGGGTATTGAGAAATTACAGACTTCTGAAATTAGGGAATTAGGAAACTTGACAATTGGTAATGCACCTAATCGGGAAATTAGTGAATTGCAAAATTTAGAAATAAGAAAATTAGGGAATTAGAAATATAGCGAATCAGCAACGCAAGTAATCAAGAATATACACAATCAAGAATCAATTGAATTAATAATTTGAAACACTGGAAATGTACAAAATTAAAAATTTACAAAAATCAAAATGTCAAAAATTACAAACATAGTTTACATTTACTAATCCACATAAAAATTTCTGATTCTTCCAACGACCACTATATTTTCCGAAAGAACACGTCACCGTCCACGCGTGACAGGACACCGCGCATAGAACCCGTCTATTTCAAATTTCGAAATCGCATCAGTTTCGCAGCCGTCACGCGGCCGTCACGCGTCTCGATGTTTTAATCGACACCGGGAAATTACGTTTGTAAGTTGACGAGAATCCGGCGGAGACTGTTTAACGCGAAAAACCGACAAGAGAGATATCTGTGCATCGCGAACGAGATAATCAGCGCGGAAGGACGAGGAGGATTGAAAGCGGTAGAAACCGGGTGAGAGGGCGAGCTCTGACTTATTGCGGCTTTTTACCATCATCAACAATCCCCTAAGGCAGTCTGCGTGGCTAATCTGAGTTAAGTGGCCGTTAGGAAGCCGAAGAAATCTTGGAAACGTTTGCGCCAATCTACTGGCTCCTTAACGCGATTCTTTTCTGATTCGTTTGAAAAAATACAATTTTTCTAATTATTGGTAATCCACATTTTTATTTGGACAAATTGTTAAGACATTTTTTGTAATTCATTTGGGGAAGATGAACGATGAGAAATCAACCCTCTTGGCAAATTATGTTAGCTTCATATGTGAACATATTTTTGTAGCATAATTTGCTATTGTATCTCTATTATCATTGGAACAGTGTAACAAAATTAATGTTGAACCTGTCACATTTATTCTGATTGAAATAATTACATATTGGGAGAAAATTAATATAAATAAATGATAAATGTGTAGGCACGTTGTTAAATAATGAAAATAAATGAACATACTAAATGCTCAAAATAATTGATAAAAATAAATGATCAAGATAATTCACTGAAATGAATGATAGTATTAAAGCACATACTGATAGTAGAAAATAATTGACAAAAATAAATGGTCAAAGTAGTTGACAAAAATAAATGATCAAGATAATTCATTGAAGTGATTGATAGTAATAAATCAGTACAAGAGAATGATCAAAATAATTCATAAATATTATTGACTAAAATTAATGAACATAATAAATGATAGCAATATACAAATATAAATAAATGAACAAACTAATTAATTCAAGTGACTGACAAAAATTAATCATTATAAATGAACGAAGAAAATAATTCATAAAAGTGATCAACAAAAATAAATCAATACAAATGAGCATAGAAAATAATTCATAAAAGTGTTTGACAAAAATAAATCAATACAAATGAGCAAAGAAAATAATTCATAAAAGTGTCTGACAAAAATAAATCAATACAAATGAGCATAGAAAATAATTCATAAAAGTGTCTGACAAAAATAAATCATTATAAATGAACAAAGAAAATGATTCATAAAGACAACTGAATTGAAATAAATGTCTAAAATAATTAATAAAAGTACTTGAGAACGACAAACTCTCATTGCACCTGATCCCTTGAGGACTATGGTCTTCAGCATTTTCAAAGATAAAAGATGTAGATAAAGAGCATAGTCGGTAGGATTTACGAGAAGTTCAGGACCATGTCTATGAAGCACCGTGGATTAAGGATGAAGTAATTGAACTCCTTTTACGAGATCCTTTCTTTCATTCTCCTACGAGCGTCCAACTCATAAAGTGAACGCTAAAAGATTTTATGGATCGTTTCGTGGTATACATTTTCCTTAGCGTTTTCTAACCCTTTATGTACTCCTTGCAAACCTACTAACCTTCTGCGCTTCAACTCCGTACGATGTTTTATTTCGTAGGATGTTACGTAAAAACAATCGTTGTATCGTTGAGATGATGAATGTTGGGTTGGTAAGTAAATTTGTGGTTTGTGGGTAGTTTGGTTGGGTTTTGTGGAAGTTTAGTTTGATATTGGGAGGATAGGTTTATGTGAGGGCAGTTTTTATGGCGTTTCGAGTGTATTGTAGAAGGTAATTTTGAGGGGGAATTTGAATTTCGAGTTTAGGGAGAGTTGAGGTTTTTAAGAGTTTCGAGGGTGGAGTGTTAGATTTGGAGATTTGGGGGTATGTGGGATTTGGGATAGGTGGAATTTGGGATATGTGGGATTTGAGGATATGTGGGATTTGGGGATATGTGGGATTTGGGATAGGTGGAATTTGGGATATATGGGATTTGGGATATGTGGGATTTGTGATATGTGGGATTTGTGATATGTGGAATTTGGGATATGTGGGATTTGGGGACATGTGGGATTTGGGGATATGTGAAATTTGGGGACGTGTGGAATTTAGGAGATGGGATTTGGGGACGTGTGGGATTTCGGGACGTGTGGAATTTGGGCGATGGGATTTGGGGACGTGTGGGATTTGGGAATATGTGAGATTTGAGGACGTGTGGGATTTGGGGAGATGGGATTTCGGGGCGTGTGGGATTTGGGGACATATGGGATTTGGGAATATGTGGGATTTGGGTACATGTGGGATTTGGAAATGTGGGATTTGGGTAAGTGAATTTTGTGGCATTTGGATTTGGGATATTTGGATTTCAGAATATTTGGATTCCCGGATATTTGGATTTCCAGATATTTAGATTTGGGAATATCGTACATTTTGGGACATCACGAATTCGCCATAAATTCATCATAAAGTCACCACGAATTCAATATACAAAAATAAAAATATAAAAAATGATGTATAAAATTGTGTCTTAAATTATGTTTGAAAGAATGTTTTTCTTTCCACCAAAACACTCGTGTTACGGTTCGCTCAAAGAGCGCGACTCAACCATAGCCAACGTCCTCCACCAGTTGAATTCACTGTCATCGAGATTATGTTAATCTCGCCGCGAAGAGGCGGTGGCACGGTCGAGTTATTCGATCGGTCGCAGAAAGCCTCTCCTGCGGATCGTTGCCCCCGGTGTATTGGATTATGTTTCGCTGTTAACAGGTTACGTTTCGTATCTCGCCGTGGCAGACGCGCGTCGCGTCGCAGCCAATGCCACGGCTGATCGACTGCTGGATCGATGGTATGGACAAACGTGATCGAAGGTATTCAGATTCACGGCTACACCTTTATCTTTCTTCTCCACTTTTCGTTTCGTTCATTCAACTGTGTGATACTTTGCCACCCTTCTCGTTTTTAGATCAAATTATTGCTACGGTTAGCAATTGGGTTACTGCTCTTTGTTGTCTGATAGAACGGTTAGGTTTTAACACTTTTAGACGGAATTTTGGTCACTGTTGAAGAATATGTGATACTTACATTTTTTGGGCAAATTATTATTTTGGATAAGTAACTGGTTAGGTTAGGTTAAATTAGGTTAGGATAGATTTTAACACTTTTAGACTGAATTTTGATCACAGTTGATGTTTATGTCATACTTATATTTTTTAGACAAATTATTATTCTAGACAAGTAATTTGTTAGGTTAGGTTAGGTTAGATTTTAGCACTTTTAGACTAAAGTTTCATCATAGTAGAAGAATATGTGACATTCATATTTTTTAGACAAATTATTATTTTAGACAAATGATTGATTATTTAGAATTTCTTCATCTACTTGCAAATATTCATATTTGTTGTAATAACAGTGATAAATAATACTTTTTAACTATTGTCGTTTGTATTATTGCTGACTATAATAGTAATCTTAATTCTGTGAAAAGAGTGTTAGACCTTAATAATTGTCTACTAGGTCAGACGTT